TCTGAATACGAGCTTAAGAATTTTTGATAAAATGTTCAATGATTAAATACCATTCTCAAGGCTGTTTCATGATACTCTCAATGCTGGTTTCTACATTCAGACTCAGGTATTATTAGGTTGTGGGCGATATAAATAGGGGCAATATAAATAGGGGGCATTGAGAAGTCTATATGTACATAAATACAACATAAATGAGAATGAGATCTTCAACTTTACAGTTCCTCTAGATTTAGACATGAAAACCAGGAGGATAATCTTGAGGCTGTTTCTCTATTAATGCCTTTAAACCAACTTCTTGATCTTCGAGATTCTTCGGCTTCACATCATATACATCGTTAAACAACTCTGTCAATGGTTGCTTATCCCACTTCTCCGCCGCCTGAATCGCTTGCAGAAGCTACATAACACAAAACCACTTAAATCAGTTGATAACTTGAACCTTAACATCAATAATGTCGCGGTGGTTTTCGGAATCTCTACCTGTTTTCTTGTGTTAGATCTTAGCTTGGATTCATCTTCCTCACTCCACCATCCGTTGTCCTCGACCCACTTCCTGAATCTGTTAACAGGGTTTCTCGACATTTTCCAGTACTGGATTTCATCGGCCGCCCTGTACTTAGTCGAATCATCTGATGTAGAATGATGTCCTACTCTATATGTCATCGCCTGCAAAAAAAAAAAGACATCAAAAATCTCATTAAGGAAAAAGTTGTAAACTTTGTGACAATTCTCTAATGTGGTTTTACCTCAATAAGAACTGGTCTTTGTTCTTTTACAGCCATCTCTCGAGCTGAGCGTACCGCACTATAAACCGCGAGCGCATCGTTACCGTCCACACGGATGCTTCGGATGCCGTAAGCTTGTCCTTTCACAACAATTCCATCACCTGTAAACAACCACTTAAAAGCTCATTTTAAAAAAACAGAGGATTTCTTTGGCTCTCTAGTAGTACATAAACAGAGGAAGTTAGTTTCATACTTCTGAATTGTTCTGAGATATGAGTACTGATAGCCCAACCGTTGTTCCGACAGATAAACACAACCGGAGCTTCCATCACCGCCGCGAAATTCAATCCGGCGTGGAAATCTCCCTATCCACCGCAAAAAATCAACACACAAAATATAAGAATTCCAATTCTTGAAATGTTTATTCTTTACTAAAGAAATGAGAGTCAACCTCGCTCGTGCCACCATCGCCCATGAATGTAACTGCACAAGCGTTCTTCTTCTCCATTTTCAGAGAATAACCAACTCCAGCAGCTTGAGGAAGCTGTGTGCTGAACCAAAATTACAAAAATACAGATTCAGCAAAAACACGAAAAACCCGCATCGAAAAAAGATTCGATTTTTCGGAGACTCTTACGCGATGGGAGAGGAGACTGTGAAGTAATTATGGCGATTAGAGCCATAATGAATCGGCATTTGTCTACCTTTGCCATAATCAGCTTTGTTACCAAAACACTGATTCGCAAACTCCTCCAATGTAAAGCCACGCCATAGGAGAACTCCAGGTTCTCGATACTGTTTAACCAAACAAAAAAAATGGAAACTTTCGCAGTTTTTTAAAACAAACCCGAATCAAAGGAAAGAAAAACACAATGGCTTTAAAAACAAACCTGAGGTAAAACGACGTCGTCAGGGCTAAGAGCAGCAGCAGAAGCAATGTTAATGGCTTCTTCTCCGACAGAAGTAAGATAAAACGAGATTCTTCCTTGTCGTTGAGCTTCGTAGAAGATATGATCCATTACTTGAAGTGTCGCCATTTGTTCGTACATTTTAACCGCCACTTTCTCGCTCACCTATTTTTTTCGATTGCAGTAAAATTTATCGGTTAATAAAAAAACACTTAAACCAAACTAAACCAACAACTCTAAATTCGGTGTACCGGAATAAAATCGCTGTCGGGGATGATTCTTCCGTTTTCGTCAAGAACACGGTAACATGGAATTCTCCGAGATGGAGATTCAGGTATGAATTTCATCTCTGATGTGTAACCGACTTTGCCTCCCGGAAAATCCAATTCCTGGTTTAGACACGGTTTAGGTTAGCATAATTCGGTATGCTGATGCCAATGCTAATGCTATGGCTCTTAATGTGTAAAGGAGGAAAAACATTGGGGTATATGTGAAAAAATAAGACGAGAAGAAGGGTCATTATGCAAACTAGCGTCCATAATTTGGATTCTTCTTCATCATTTTCACTCCACAGTCCTAGACTTGCTGTTACTTATGAAAGAGACGTAGTCAATCAAATAACCCATGGTGGGACCCGCGTAGCTATTCACACGTGTCACTTGTTATGGGACCCACTTTCTCGTAAAGGACCACAATTTCATAATTAACCAACGCCACAAATAAAATTGAGACTTTTATGATGTACGTTACAGCATAGCGTGACAGATCTTTCAGATAATTATGTGTAACAACAACAACAAATCGAACTAAACCGGATTGAAACGCCTCTAAACCGAAAATCATCTACTAAATTAATTCTAGAAAGAAAAAAAGACAAAAACAAAAATCTGCTTCAAAGAACTAAATTAAATCTGATATTTTTGATTTGTAACAATTGGAATGATCATTTATTCACACTTTTTTTTTTTATGAACTAATCACAAAATTTAAAATTTAACTATAACCACGTGAAAACAAATTAAGGATTATAACATACCAGGGCATCTTCTTCATCTCTCTGTTGAACAAAATCCGGCTGTTTCTCCACTGCCGTCGACTCGTGACGGTGGCTCCCGACCGGACCAAAAAACGCCGTCGAAGTTGTAAAAACGACCGGACGAGGAGAATTATCGCGTTTGATGAGAATCGCGGACCAACCAAGATTCTGTCTCAGGCTAGAAACGAGGTTTCTGGATCTAGCAAACCAGATCGCCATGTCTGCCA